AACCTCCTCGACTCCGACCCGCCGGGCTCAGCCCTGACTTCGGGCCGTCTATTTAAAACTAGACGGATGAGGTGGTTCAATAATCGGTTAAACAGGTTTAAGACGTGATTTAGTAACGTAAGAAGCCTCTCCCGCCCGCATCTCCTGAAAATCCTGTTTACCTTTCTGCTCGGAGATTACTGATCCTGTGTTTTCGATGCGGCTATTAAAGGTACCCTGTGGTTCATCTGGAGAGGGGCCCGGGCTTTACCAACCCTGCCCAGCGCTTTCTGTGGACTACTGAAGATCTCCTATGGTATGGAGATGAGTAAAGAGGGGGTGTTCTGTAGTCCTGGACACTTCCTATCTTAGGGGTGTCCTATCCTAGCTTTTGTTGTAGTACTCACTTCTAATCCAGAGATTTACCCTGCAGTACTTCTTTCTCACCACAAGATGCCTGCTTTCTGATGGCTGGCATCATGCAATCCACTTCCTCTGAGCCCAGGTTCCTGCCCTCTTCTCCTATCAGCATGCTTCTTATCAGCACACAAACTGATTGGCTCCTAGTGCTGCTTATCCCTCCCCTAGTCTGAGTTCGGCTGTACAAGTGACTGTAAGAGGGTCACATTCAGATACTGACATATTCCAATATCTTAATAAATACAGAGCTGTTATATGTGCCGGAGTTCCTAATTATTGCCGTAAATCAGAGTTTGGCTGGTACAACATGTCGGGGGGCGGGGGGGATGTGCAGGTTGTGGCCGGCTGTGCGGGTTGTGGCCGGAAGAACTTGTAGTAATAACACGGCTTTGATCTCCATCAGAATTTGGGAAGCCCGGTGACCTGTGCCAGGCCTGCTATGCCGGGGTCACTGGAAGGAGCCACTCGCTGCAGTGTCTGAAGTTCTCATCTCCACACAGAGCTCCCGTCTGGCTCAGCCGCAGCTCACAGGGGCTTATACAAATGTTTGGGATTGTTGTGGCCCCCGCATATAGAAAAACAAGTTGTTCTTGAAGCACTGAACCCTGGGGGCCCGAAATGTCAGTGATAATGCCGTGGGCTGGGCTGGTCTTGTGATCATGAAAAACATGGACAGATTAGCACAGCGGGGCGCCGGGCAGAGCAGACGGGGGCTTATTGTGAGCGCAGAGTCGGCGTGAGCTAATAACATGGCTGTATACTGCACTGACCCGTGCCCCCCCCCCGCATGGATTATAGCTCACCTGTAGCTGCACTCATATAGGGGCCACTGGGTGTCTATTTGTGTCTTCTCAGATGGGGAGATGAGGGCCATCGTATTGGGAAATTACTCATTTGGACCCTTAAGTACTTGTTGTGTCCCTGAATAATATGACACTTGGGGATCCCAGAACACTGACACTTGGGGGTCCCAGAACAATGACACACTGACACTTGGGGGTCCCAGAACAATGACACACTGACACTTGGGGGTCCCAGAACAATGACACACTGACACTTGGGGGCCCCAGAACAATGACACACTGACACTTGGGGGTCCCAGAACAATGACACACTGACACTTGGGGGTTCCAGAACAATGACACACTGACACTTGGTTGCCATTGATAAGATTCGCACTGTTACAGTAGACTGTCAGCAGCGTATTTCTGTATGATAACAGAACTTCCTCAGACTGTCCATAGTAGAATTGCCAGGGGGGTGTCGGGGGTTGGGCTTGTTTTAGATAAAAGACTTCTTATAGTGAATTTCCTGCTGAGTCAGATCTTCCAGTGAACTCATTCTCTGGCGGTGGATCATTCAATGGCACACGTCATACATACGAGAAGTCCTCCCTCCCTCGTGCTACGTCTTCGGGGGCCCCTGTCGCACTCTCTGTATACACAGAGCCAGAGAGGAACACGTTGTAACTCTACTACAATCTCTGTGACTAATCCAGGATGTGAAATGTTGTAGAGGATGTTAAGAGTGGCTCCCGGCCAAACTCCATGCATGTGTGTTCTGTCGGATGTAAAGGGCAGAACTTTTTTTTGTTTGTTTTGGGTGGAGCGGGGAAGGTTAGATACCCTCTGTCAGGTTTTTATCGCTATCCGTGTCTCCTCTCTATTTGTCCTGGTGACAATTATCACTGAAGTCATGGGGAATCCAGAGTTGTCACCATAACAGGAATGTGACTTGTGGGGTGTGTATGGTATTCAGACACCTTCCATCTAACAAAACCCGAAAAGCTGATATTTCCCGTTTCTCCGCTTTCGTCAATATAATATAAATATAAGAATATCCAATTTTGTTCTATAATCGCCTCCAGTTTTCATGGCGGGCTTTTACCTTTTAGAGATTAACATTGCGTAGAGTTCCATCTTCCCTTCTCTTGTCCCAGATACCTCTACATCTCTCTCAGATTGGTAACGTCACTCTCTTTAAGCAGCCCAGGGCTGAGAAGCTCAGGGGTGCGCATGAGAAGCTCAGGGGTGGGGCTGAGTAATTCAAAGGCATAGTAGACAGCTCAGGGGTTGGGGCTGAGAAGCTCAGGGGTGTGGCTAAGCAACTAAGATGCATAGTGAAAAGCTCAGAGATGGGGCTGAGAAGCTCACAAGGGTGTGGATGAGAATCTCAAGGGATGGGGCTAAGAAGCTCATGGACGTGGCTGAGTAGTTCAAGGGCATAGTAGACAGCTCAGGGGTTGGGGCTTAGAAGCTCAGGGGTGTGGCTAAGAAGCTCAGATGCATAGCAGAGAAGCTCAGAGATGGGGCTGAGAAGCTCAAGGGTGTGGATGAGAAGCTCAGGCGTGGCTGAGAAGCTCAGGGGTGTAGTTGAGAAGGTCAGGGTTGTAGCTGAGCAGCTCAGGGGCATAGGGGAGAAGCTCAGGGGTTTGGCCGAGAAACTCCAAGGAATAGTGGAGAAGCTCAGGAATGGGGCTGAGAAGCTCAAAAGTGTGGATGAGAAGCTCAAGGGTGTGAATGAGCAGCTCAGATGCATAGCTGAGAAGCCCAGGGATGGGGCTGTGAAGCTCAAGGGTGTGGATGAGAAGCTCAAGGGTTTGGATGAGAAGCTCAGGGGCATAGCAGAGACGCTCAAGGGCATAGGGGAGGAACTCAGGGGTGTGGCTGAGAAGCTCAGGGGCACAGGGGAGGAGCTTAGGGGTGTGGCTGAGAAGCTCAGGGGTGTAGCGGAGAAGCTCAGGGGCAAAGCAGAGAAGTTTAGGGGCATAGGGGAGGAACTCAGGGGTGTGGCTGAGAAGCTCAGGGGCACAGGGGAGGAACTTAGGGGTGTGGCTGAGAAGCTCAGGGGTGTAGCTGAGAAGCTCAGGGGCAAAGCAGAGAAGTTTAGGGGCATAAGGGAGGAGCTCAGGGGTGTGGCTGAGAAGCTCAAAGGAATAACGGAGAAGCTCAGGAATGGGGCTGAGAAGCTCAGAGGTGTGGATGAGCAGATCAGGGGTGTGGCTGAGTAGCTCAGGGGTGTAGCTGAGCAGTAGGATGTATGTGTGAAAACCACAGGGGGGGGGGGGGGAGTTGGACATTATTTTGGCTTTGGCTTGACATATAAAGACTTTCATTTTGAAGGGGGAATGCAGAAAGAGGCAGCAAACAAAACCCGAGTTTGCTCAGGAAACGCGCAGGGTGAATATAAAACAATGTATCTAAGTTACAATAACACATTTTATTTTAGTTTACTCTCATTAGAACCTTCCAAGTTTCACTTCCTCTGTATCATTCTTCTCGGTACCGAGCTGTCGCTTTTCCATAACCATTAATTTTCAGCCCATCGGTTCACGGCGGAGAGGCGGCACCGGTGAGGTACGGGGCAGGCGTCTCCTCAGGCCTCCGCCATGCTGCCTCAGTAAGTGAACTGCCTGCAGTCGTAGGGATTTAGTTTCTTCCCCCACATTGTGTTCCATGATAATTGGAGCCGCAATAACAGACTGGCATACCTGGCAAGAGACACAATCTGACCTTTGTTGGGCTGCGACTGAACAAATCACCCGCTTGCATAGCATGGCAGCTCTGGGGCCCCATGAGGGGGGAGGGGGGGTTGCTCCACTGTGGCACTATTCCCAAGGCTACAGAGGGGATTTAAAGGGCCACTGTACGGGAATTGCATTTCATATTTTCATAAATTATTAGTTCAGATTTCAATTACATTTAATGAAGTTTTGGGAAAATAGGGGAGGGAAGGACGGAGGACAGATAGAAGACTGAAGGCAAGGACGGAGGTCAGATAGAAGACTGAAGGGAAGGACGGAGGACAGATGTAAGACTGAAGGAGAGGACGGAGGTCAGATGTAAGACTGAAGGAGAGGACGGAGGTCAGATAGAAGACTGAAGGGGAGGACGGAGGTCAGATAGAAGACTGAAGGGAAGGACGGAGGTCAGATAGAAGGCTGAAGGGGAGGACGGAGGTCAGATAGAAGGCTGAAGGGGAGGACGGAGGTCAGATGTAAGACTGAAGGGAAGGACGGAGGTCAGATAGAAGACTGAAGGGGAGGACGGAGGTCAGATAGAAGACTGAAGGGAAGGACGGAGGTCAGATAGAAGACTGAAGGGGAGGACGGAGGTCAGATAGAAGACTGAAGGGAAGGACAGAGGTCAGATAGAAGACTGAAGGGAAGGACGGAGGTCAGATAGAAGACTGAAGGGAAGGACGGAGGTCAGATTTAAATAATTGCAGTACATTTCCGCCGTAGAGATCCAGCTCTGCCGTCACGTTGTATCCTCCTCTCGGGTCACGTTGTATCCTCCTCTCGGGTCACGTCGTATCCTCCTCTGGGGTCACGTTGTATCCTCCTCTGGGGTCACGTTGTATCCTCCTCTGGGGTCACGTTGTATCCTCCTCTGGGGTCACGTTGTATCCTCCTCTGGGGTCACGTTGTATCCTCCTCTCGGGTCATGTTGTATCCTCCTCTGGGGTCACGTTGTATCCTCCTCTCGGGTCACGTTGTATCCTCCTCTCGGGTCACGTTTTATTATGTAACATTTATAAGAAGCGGTTTTGTGATTTTGTTTCGCCTCTAATGACACTTTTCGTTTCTTTTCTCCTTTCAGTGCTGCTGACCGCCATCAACTGCTACAGTGTAAAAGCGGCGACGCGCGTCCAGGATGCGTTTGCTGCGGCGAAGCTTTTGGCTCTGTGTCTGATTATCATCCTCGGCTTCATACAGCTGGGCAGAGGTGAGTCTCCCCCGGCAACGGAGGACATTGTAGATCCGCCCAATATACAATGATATATAACTATTCGCTGCCACAGCACAAAAAGGTGACACCTATGAGCCAGCGACGCGTTTTTCGTTGTCATGCAGTGTACGTGTTTGCATTCCGGTGTCACATAGCAAAGCCATGAAAACAAAGGGAACCTGTAATTTGGCCACTCAGGACAAACCAACACCCTAATTTTAGGAGACAATGTCACTTGGCCCGTTCAGTGATCATGCCCCTCCCACCCTCGGGCTTTTTTGTCTTACTGAGCCACCCCCTGCTACAGCATTCCAGCCTGTCTCTGATGTCAGAGGGATGATGTCATTCTCCCGCCTTCCCGGATGTCATACCCAGGC